CGCAAGAAATCTCACAGCAAATCTATATTATTCCATCATAAACCTAAACTTAGCTACATCAAAAACATTTGGGTAGTTTGCAAACTCTACAGACTATTTACAAGGTAATAAATCTCTTACATACATGTAAATGCACGTGCAGACTTGTCCTGAATTAAAAATCTCACGTCAGCCAGCTGGCCAAAATTGGTAACCCTGCCATTTCCTATTCCTTTTCGTCTATGTCTGTTAGTTGAATAAAACCCATTTTGTTTGCTCCATCTCTTGCTCTGACATCCTTCGTCCTTTATTGTATGACAGTCTGATACTTGATAATGTTTTTGAGAGTGGACATGAGTTTTTTTTTTAAGAATACGAATGAAGATGTGTTAATACGCAAGAAATTTGTTTGAGACAAAATTTTGGTTTTATTTATGCTTTTATTTGATGATGAATAAAGTTCATATAAAGCCAATTTAGAGTTTCAAAGAATTGCAATGTTTCGCATTACAGCAGTTAAATTACAGCAGTTAAATTAAAGTCCTTAAAAACTGTATGCTGAAACCTAATGGCTATAATGACAGCTTTACAGATGTTAGCTTGAGGAATCTAGATGAGATAGAGGCTGACTAATCTGTGCTCACCCCTGTGTACATGCATCTGTTAGACTACGACTAAACCTGTTAGTTTCATTTGACTGCATGTACTGTAGATTTAATCGACTGAATCTACTTTAGATTTAATCAACTAAATATCCTGTAATTTTCGTTGACTAAAACTAGACTAAAACAAAAAAAAATCAGATGACTGAAATATAACTAAAACTAATTTGCATTTTCGTCAAAGCACTAAGACTAAAACTAAATTAAAATACGTTGTCAAAATAAACAGTGTAACGCATACATAGGGCTGCTTTTGCTAATGGAAATAGTCAAACTACAACACCACAGACTGACTGCATATTGCAAGCTAATAATATAAGTTGCAGCGATTCACACCACTGTCGAATGTCATTACATTCCAATGGGTCTTTTTCTTAGATGTTGTTCACGACATTGACATACTTGTCAAACATGCATGATTTTACTCCCTGCTGGACCTGCCATAGTTGAAAATTATTCTCAGTTTTCTAGGCGTACTCATCATGCTTAACATTGATAATAATAATACTTTATTATTACTGATGAGAGGCAAACTGGAAACCACATGCACATTTGAAAACTAAAATAGACTATATTTGTGTTACACAGACATTTATGCTTGTCTCATTGTCTGATGGGACTCATGAACTATGTCATAATCACAACAGTGTTATAATCACAACAGTGGTGACAGCACAAGTGATGTAATATTCCATACATGAGGGAACAGTCTACCAAAATTATGAATCAATGTTCTGAACATGCAATAAAGTCTAAGTTTACACAGCCAGCATAAACAAAGCTTAGCCTGTAAGATCTAGACCTACTGTACCACATTAGGTAGGAAGGTGCCTATTTCTACCTACTGCTCAGACCATCTGACCCAAACCAGACATTCAATTGGGGGGATGTGCTACACGCAGGTTTCTACAATCTGTCCTATATCTCCTGACCCATTATATCTAGACTCAAATTCAACCAACTTGTCACAGCAATATTTACTACTGTCTGACTGTTAATACACTGGCCACCAGTGAGAGTCAGTGCTCCATTTTCCATCAGTGCTAATATACTGTGTCTATGCCATGAACAACATTCTGACCGTTTGGACCCTCAGTCACTGCTTGCAGTTAATAGTTGTGTTTATTTTCATATTCATTATTTCCACTTTTTACACAAAATGTTAAATACCCCAAATTTAAAGAGATGAGTTAACCTATTTAGCACAGTTTGATAGTACTGTCATCAAGCTCAAACCCAGGATAGAGCGGCTTGGTGAACGTGGTCTGGACCTTCTGCAGGAGGGTCATTGTGTCAGAGACGCTGTAGAAGGACAGAGTTCCTTCCTTGTGATCCAGGTACACTCCTATCCTGGGGGAGGGGCCAGATACTGAAGTTTGCATGTTGTTATGCCGGAATAAGTAACTGGAGGTTGAGCAGGACAAACACCAGGACTTGTCATTGTATCCAAGTCTGCTGTCATAAACCCACCCTTTCCTGCTGATCCCTTTATATGTGACACCTATACCGACCCCATTCCCGCTCCACTCAACCTCCCAGTAGCAGCGCTCAGTCAGACCCTCTATACACAGCACTTGCTGGCTTGTGTCAGACCTGCCCTGGTGACCAATAAACATCTTGTAATCATGATTTAACTGTGTCTCTCTCTTCCATGTCACCACTCTGTTCCCCTCAGACAGATGGAGGTTATTGTTTGCTGTGTTGGGGTCCAGAGTGAGCTGACAGGAATCTGATGGAGGAGAAGATCAGAAGGTGATGTTTTGGTTTCATTCACTCCTTATATTAAACAAAGAGTGTTTTTGGTTTATTTTAATGCTTGGAAAAGTATTTTGAAAAGTAAAAATAAATGTATGTTTACTCGTTCATGTTTATATGGTCTTATTCTCAGAATGGATGCCTCAGAGAACAACATGATAAGCAAAATAATATTAAACATCAGCAGCCACATTGCAAACAGATTCAAAGGCTCCTGACATAAACAGCTCATGTAAATGTGAAAGACCAGGAGGCAGCGGGAGAGAGAGAGAAGCTCCCCTAGCAGAAGAAAATGAAACACAATAAAACACACTCCACCTCATACAGGGAGAGAGAAGCGTGTGTGTGAACAGACTCACATTGTAAGAATTCTGCTCTGGTCCTGGGCACTAATACCGGTACGACAGTGTCTTTGTTAACTAGACAGAGACGGAGAGAAACAGGGATGTGAGTAAAAGGAATTTACTTGTGGGAGATGGACTTCACTCACTGTGGAGACATCTGCACTAGGGTATTATCATTATGGGGGCATTTTAAAAATGTAATAATAATTCTGAGTGAAATACAATGGAAATTTCTCAAGGATTTTAAATTGCATCATTTTGTAGAAACATGATTCCTACTATTTTCTGTTTTTCTGCTAAATGTAATCTTACTGGAAACAGAAACTGATTTGGTCACACAAATGTGAGCCTGACTGTACTGTCATGCATGGTCTGTACTGAACATGAATGGAGTGGAAAATCGATTTATTTATTAACCTGTATTATGGATCTCTGTCGTTTTCTTTTTGCAAACATTCTCCAGTTGATCCTTCAGTTCAGAAACCACCTTCTTCACATTCTCAAAAGAGCAGTCTGGACTGATGGAGATTCTGGGTTCAAATGAAGCATCAGGGGTGACAGGAAGACCCTGGCACCTCTACAGACACACAGACTGATTAAACAGCTTCATCAAAACAAATGTGAATTGCAATCTAATTGAAAGGAAGCTTTTAATGAATTTCTGACAAACGACAAACAATTTGAAATACAAATAAAGACATACATCCATCTGAATACTCTGGTTTTCTTATTGCCAAAGTAGCTGTTCTGTTACCTGGAGGAAATGGATGTGATCCTCTGTGTGTGAAAGCTGCTCCAGCTCAGAGTGTCTCCTCTTCAGTTCATCAATCTCCTGCTTCAGTCTCTCCATGTCTCCTTCAGCCTGACTCACTGCAGCCATCTCCTGATCTCTGATCAGCTGTGTCACCTCAGAGCGTCTTCTCTCAATGGAGCGGATCATCTCAGTGAAGATCCTCTCGCTGTCCTCCACTGTTGACTGTGCTGAGCTCTGTTGGTGACACAGGGAGCAGAGGACGGTAAATTACAATTGGCTCCTTTTGAGACTCCAGAGAGCCTCATTGTACAATAGTGATGTGAGCTGACAGGAGGTATAAAAACAGCACAGGGCTGGGGTTTGGAGCGTCACCATGCTGGATGCCTCAGGTACTGAAACCCAGCCAGCACTGATTGGAAATGATCACTCATTAAGCTCATACACTGTCAACTGCAGGGATTTGGCAGAGACTGGTGGCTGTATGGGGCAGGTTGGTTGTCAGTACTGGGTCTCAGTTTAATATGTGACTTTTTTGGTGTTTCTTTGCATTACATAGGTGTATGAAAAGTCACCATTTAACAAGAGAAATGCCATTTAAGGGCTAATTGAGAAAGACTTTAGCTCAACCCTCCTTTCCAGTGCCATTATCCCCCCTCTGGGAGAACCCTGACTCATTATATCCCACAGTGACCTTACATTAATTAAACCTTAAAGGACTTAAGTCGCCCGTCTTGGAAGAGCCTCGATTCAAGCCTGAAATGGTTCCTACAAGCCAGCTGTTATCTTCTCTTCTGGTTCATACTCACTGTGAATGAGCCCACAGCCTCTCTCAGCTCCAGCAGCTCCTTCTCTCTCATCTGAATTCTCTGCTGAAATTCCCTCTGTGTTTCACCCATTTGTTTCTACTTATGGGGGAAAAACAATCGAAATGAGTCTGTTTCATTATCTGAGATTATATTCTCTAATCATCCTGTCCAGGATTGACCCCAGCTTTGTGCCCTATATTTTCACACTATATTTAAAACCTTTTAGCTCACAGAGGGGCACAGATGGTGGGTGGGATGGGTGGGACATGTCTCCCCCCCCAGTTATATCCCACCCACTTTTGAGGGTAAAAAAAATAACAAAACTTTGATAAGTTGCACCCCTAAATTGTGTGGATACCATGATGTTTGAACTCATCACGCTGCCGACCATCATGATCGCTGTAGGTAGGAGTCCCCTCACACACACTCGCATACCTGTGTCTGTGTACATGCTCTCCCACTGTCTCCCTTTATCTCTCTTTGTAGGTAGAGAGAGTAAAATGCACACATTCCTATTAGCCTATACATGGGCTTCCAATTTAACAAAGGTTAAATAACAAAGACGAATGTCTCTTTCTAAAACATTTTATTCAAAAATATCTATATTTTCCTCAATTATAACTTTGCACATTCTGTTTGTATTCCACCGTTGTGGGTTTTGGGTCCTGAACAAGTTGGGAACTGAGCTGCCTTAAATTGTGCTGGATACAATTTTGGTCACATGGACCAAAGCGGTATGTAATACAGAAAAAACGTAACCCGGAAAAAAACAAAGAACTGTCACAGCTTTCTTTTAAACAGCAAGCAATGTAAGTAGACGTAATTTATATATAGGCTTAATCTGGGTAGAATTGTCAACACAATTTTCTCATATCTCTGAAAAGCTAATTGATGTGCAATAAAGAAAACAACTTAATCCAAGTTTGACCATAACGTTAAACAATGTCTGTTAGAATAGAGCTGTAAATCTATGAATGTGTCCTCACATAATATATAACATTACAGTGTACTGGGGTTCAGTAAATTTAAACTTGCAACAAACTGTAGAGGAATCTGCTGTTTATGCTGTTGTCTAAAAGGCCATTTCTGGGTGACTGGCAATTCCATTCCATACAACACTGTAACATTAAATGTATGTCAGTCAGTGTCAATTAAAATGTTTAGTATATTAAATCACACCCAATGCCTCATCTTAGCCATGCAGATTCGCTGTTTGAAGGAGTTTTTAGTAGCAATTCGGTCAGAACATTTTACATTTTGTAGTAACATCTTAACGCAGGTTTGCCCCACTGAGAGCACAGCTACTGGTAAAAGACATTTTCAGTGACTCATTTTCTAAGCATTTTCTTTTCATGTAACTTATCAAACTTAATCATAATCTCTTTTCAATGCAAACTTATTCACATGTGACATTCATAATTTATATGTGAGCGTTTCCAGTCTGACCTGTTTCTCCGCCCATCCTGCAGCGGCTGAGACTGTATCATGGCCTCTGTGTTCATCCATCGTACAGAGATAACAGATACACTGCTGGTCGGTACGGCAGTAGACCTCCAGGGGTTTGTCATGGTGGGAACAGACCTTGTCTTGCAAACAGCTGATGGCATCAATCACCTTGTGTTGTTTTGCATGGTGGAGTTTATTGTGAAGTTGCAGGTCAGTTTCACAGTAGGAGGCCAGACACACCAGGCAGGACTTGACAGCTTTGTGTTTTCTTCCAGTACAGACGTCACACTCCACATCTCCAGGTCCAGCATAATGGTCAACAGGAGTATCAGCTTGTAATCCAGTCTTCTTCAGTTTCTTCACCACTTCAGCCAGTATGATGTTTCTGCCCAGAACAGGTCTGGGTACGAAGGTCTGTCTGCACTGGGGGCAGCTGTAAACTCCAGCATGATCCTCCTGATCCCAGCAGCTCTTAATGCAGCTCATACAGTAACTATGTCGACAGGGAATAGCCACTGGATCCTTCAGTAGATCCAGACAGATTGGACAGCAGAACTGGTTCTGATCCACTGCGTCACTAGCTTCTGCCATTTTTCAACAAACGCTGATAGGATTCAGTTTCGTTTCCTTTCGTCTGTGTGTGAGAGAGGGAGGAACTTCCTGCTTATCAGGCTGCAGTAGGTGTGGTTTTGGACTGAAGCCAGACTGAGAAGAACAGACTGGGCAAACACTGGAGTTGAAGTTCAGGAACTACCAGAATGTCATGGCTGCGAGGAAGACCATCCATCCTCTTCAACAGGCACTCTGTTTGTTCACAACTGACATGAGAAGGACGCTGCTGAGAGTAAACTCATGAAAAGCAGCGGGACCAAACAGCATATCTAGCCGTATGTTCAGGGAGTGTACCATCCAATTGGCAGATGTCTTCACAGACATCTTTAACATTTTCCTGAGCCAGACTAGTCATGGGGACCTGAAAGCTGGTGTTCCCGAATCACATGTCCGTCTCCAATTTTCTTATCGCCCAATCCGGTCCACTGAGGATGCCATATCCTCTGTCCTGCATCTGGCCCATGTGTAAGAAAGCTGCTCATTGACTACAGTTCAGCATTCAGCACCATCATCCCCCAGAAGCTCATAGGGAAGTTAAGCCTGCTGGGCTTCAGCACTTCTTTGTGCAACTGGGTCCTGGATTCCTTGCCAGAGAGACCCCAGACAGTCTGCATCAGAGACATCACCTCCAGCAGCACCATGCTGAGCACGGGCTCCCCCAGGGCTGTGTGCTCAGCCCACTCTGAGTCTGCAACGACCTTACAATGGACTGAACATGCAGCTGAGAATACGAGTGTGGAAGCCTTCAACAGACGCGTTGTCATGATATTGCCAATGTTCTCTGTTAGAGCCGACAGGGACAGCTCCGGGAGCGGTAAGCAGAAAGGATGGACTTGCTGTTTTTGTCAACAAATGGCTTATATATTAATCAAAGAGCGGACATTGAATTGTGTGCTGTTGGACTCAAACCGTATTATTTGCCCGGGGACTTTACCCAGGTGATGTTGGTGGCTGTTTATGTTCCTCCCTCTGCTAACCCCACAGTGGCATGTGACATTGTACATTCTGCCTTAGCCCGGTTGCAGACTCAGCACCCGAGTGCCTCCATAGCTATCTTGGGTGACTTCAACCATGTTACTTTGGACCCTACACTTCCAACCTTCATACAGTGTGTATCCTGTCCCACCAGGGGGAGAAAATTTCAGACCTACTGTATGCTAATGTCAAGGACGCATACAGATCCTCCCCCCTCCCCCTCCCCCCACTGAGTAGGTCAGATCATAACCTGATTCTCCTCACCCCCTGCTATGTGCCTGTTGTGAAGAGGGAGCCTGTGACCACAAGGTGTATTAGGAGGTGGTCGGAAGAGGCCTTGGTGAAACTAAAGGGCTGTTTTGAGGTGACAGACTTGCAGGCACTTTGTGAGCCCCATGGTGAGGACATCAGTGGGTATCACCCATTACATAACCTTCTGCACCGACTCTATTGTCCCAGGTCGAACTGTCCATTTTTATGCAAATAACAAGCCATGGGTGACTAAGGACATCAAAGTCCTCCTCAATGACAAGAAGAGGGCCTTCAGAACGGACAATAGAGAGGAGGTGAGTATGGTTCAGAGATTATCGAGGGGCATGAACAGTGAGGCTAAGGACAATTATAGGAATTATAACACAGCAATTAGTGGAAACTCCATCAGAGAGGTATGGAGATCATCACTGGATTCAGGCCATCCAACAGCAGAGGGCATGAGGGTGGTGAGGACAGAGCCAACCAGTTGAATTTGTTCTTCAACAGAATCGACTCTGCAGTTAATGCCCATCCCCCTACTCACTTATCTGCAGTCAGCCTGGAATCCACAGCCACACCACTCTCTCCTCTGTCCCTCCCTATCCTCCTGTTAAAGACCAGACATCCCTCTCCCACCTGTCACTTTCACTTAAGACTAGGTTCAGAGACAAATGGGAAGAATCCACTCAAGGCAAGTTTGCAGGATCAGACAGGGTGAGACCCCAACACTGGCCAGCCCCAATCCTGCTTAGCTTCACCCAGACTACCCACTCCAAACTGCAGGAACCATGGATGCTGACAGCTTAAAACACTGATCACTGAGAATATGAGCTGGAGCCTAAAGAAAGCAACTACATCAGTTACCTACAGGGGGTTGTACAAGGGGGTGGCCAGATATCCCAGTGGTTAGGACCAGTGTTCAAGTCTCCCCCCCCACTCCCATAGCTCCCTGTGTGTGGAACCTGCACAGTCAGGTAGTCCCAGACACCCTCACCCATAGCCTGAGAAAAGAGATGGCCAGATTTCAGTCAGGACATCACCCCTACTTTTTCCAAAAGATACCAAACAACCCTTAATGAGGCCTAACAGTAAAGAACCATGATCTTCCCAGACCAAGAAACCATCTAGGCTCCCATCCAAACACTGGCCAGACCAAATCCTGCTTAGCTTCACAAAGACTACCCACACCAAACTGCAGGAACCATGGTTGCTGACAGCTTGAAACACTGATCACTGAGAATGTGAGCTGAAGCCTAAAGAAAGCAACTACAACAGTTGCCTACAGGGGACAGTAGAAGGGGGGTGGCCAGATAGCACTGTGGTTAGCACTACTGCCTCACAGCCCAAGGACCAGGGTTCAAGTCTGCTCACTAATTCAATGAACATGACAGTTAGCTTAGCTTTACCATATATGGCTACACATCTATTCATCCCATTACAGCAAAACCACTTAACTATGCACTTTAAACATTCTTTACACAGCTTCACAACAGTCTCCTATCTCACTCAAAAATATCTGCATCTCTCTGGGAGGAATTTTAACTCACCTGTGGTTGTGAACAAAGAGGCACAAAACTGAGAAGGGTCTGGCTGCAGAAGGGGCCTGAGAGTGCATGTCCTCTGTCAGGCCCCCATCCACTCTCAAGCCCCTAGATCATTTCCATTAAAACAACAGAATCCATCTTCCAAAACCCCAATGCAAGTCAGCATCATGATTGTGAGTTTAAAAAGGGAAACCACAGTAGCAATGATTCACCACTGAGTGCCATCCATTTACAAAACCAAGCAGAAACATGAGTACACTGTGTCTGGAGCTGCCGTGAGAATGTGCTTAGCGGTACACCAAGTTTCATTTTAATACATCTCGACATGAGTGTGGAAATGGACATACGCAACATTTTCGTGCGTACACCCAGTTTATACATGAGGCCCTCTGTGCCTGTTCTGTGTGTCTGTTCTGTTCCCAGTTCCTCGTTGATGATTTTGCTTTTGTTTTTTAGGTCTCATGTCCCTGGTCCTGTCCCTTTGCTCACCTTTGGAGGGGGGTTCTGTCACACCCGATCGTCCGATCTTTCCATGTACCACGCCCCCCCTCGTTAACCTCATGTGGAATCCCGATATTATCAGCGGTTTCTTGTTGTTATATTAAGTCCTGTGTCTTTAAGTCCATGTCAGAGTATGTATCCCCAGTTCCGTCACTGACGTCGTTTGCCGTGTTTTATCTTGTCTGTTTGTTCTACCTAATAAACTTGTGTTCCTGATTCTCTGTTTCCCGACCCTGTTGCTCTGCTCCCTGCTCGCCTGATGGCGATCGTGACATATATACACAGCAAATACTTCACTTTTTATGAGTATAACAGATACTGATAGAGATGGTACCGATCCGATATCCACTATTGGCACCAGGCCAAAAGGTCTAGCCTGAAAATCGTGAAAATTCTTAGAGCATTCTATCTCAAGTTGTGGCACATGGGCCCAACTCTGAAACGTATTGGTGCTACTAATCTTACCATGTTCTAGGCTGGGAAGGAATAGAGGAACAAAGGTATGTTTCATCTAAGTCAACAAATTAGGTTACATATCATAAGCTGCATATCCTGAGCACATCCTGGTACAGATGTAAACAGACACTATTCTAATGAAAGCAAGCAAAGAGAAACTTTGTTAGTCATTTGTTTGCTTTTTTCTCCAGATAAAGTAGATTAACAATAAACAGCTGATGGAATTTGAAGCTGTCAGGTGGTATCAGTTGTAACATGTAGGAACGTGCAATTATATATGGACAGTGTCAAATTTAGACAGAAAATGTTTTCAGATTTGATTTTTACATTGTTTATTGTAATTCACATGATAATGAAGCTCCTAGCACAAACAGTCAGATTTCTTCATTTATTTCTGTGTGTTTGCTGGGAGTGTATCAGTCTCAGGAAGGAGAGTCAGGTGACCAGGTTTTCTCTCTCTCTCTCTCTCTCTCTCTCTCACCCTCAGCCATGAACACCAGGAGAAGAGGAGCACCTCTGCCAGGATGTTTCCCATCCACTTCAGCTCAGCCTTCAGCTCCATCGCCCAGAGAGCACTGAGGCATATTAAAGGAACAGACAATCTGATATGCAGAGAATTCACTTCCCATGTTAGACCCTCCAAATGCCTGTTGAGCCACTTTTGCTGATTTGGTTTCCTGTTTAACCCTGACAAGGTTAGTCAGTGACTTCTGTTGATGTGAAATGTTGATATTTTACTGGTTTACATGGCACCATTGAGACTGTATGACATGTGCCAGACATATCTGAACAGTGTCAGCTAACTTTCGTCGACTTTTCAGAGCTGACTTTCACAGAATCCATGTCATTTTTATTTTCGCTAATCTTGATTCTAAAATACACACACATGGATATTTTAGTGGGTCTTGTGGTTTAGTTCATAATAACTTGTGATGTTTTGGTCCAAGGTCCACAGTCCGCTGATGCAAAGAGAGATACACTCAACACGTGTTGGGTATAAACCTTCATCCATGTTTGATACCCACCTTATACAGATCAGGGAGCCAATTCCAGGCAGCACAGGGCACAAGTTTATATATATTTATATAACAGCAACATGCAGAATGATAGGTAGAGTAAGAAAACAATGTAAAATGCTAAGAAATTATATCAGTTAATTGGTTTTCCCAAATGTCAACCGTGTAAAATACATAAATTATGTAAAAACTTCAGCATTATCCCTATTAAAGGAATCTTTAATTATTCATACAGATATCTTACATGACAAAAGCGTGACAACTGATGAACTTATACAGATTATAATATCCATAAAAAGTATAAATTACTGCATAAAAATTATTTGACAAATATAATAATTTTCATTGGACAGAAGGAATAATTTTGAACGATATGCTAACAAAACCTGTTAGTGTTATTTAAATGAATACACACAGACACACATACAGGTGGGAGCAAGGTTCGAGGTCACTGCACAGAAATTTCACATAAAAACTTAGAAAAGTATTGATTATTATTTTATTTCCACATATAAATGGCCAAAAGGCATAATTTATAAGAAATCTGTAAAACTGTGGTTTTAATTATATTTATTTTAATATCCATTATTTGACACAAAATATTAAATACATCAAATTTAAAGATACATTAGTTAGCTTACTTAGCACAGTTTGGCTGTACTGTCCCAAAGCCCAAACCCAGGATAGAGGGGTTTAGTGAATGTGGTCTGGACCCTGTGCAGGAGGGTCACTGTGTCAGAGACTCTGTAGAAGGACAGAGTTCCTGCCCTGTGATCCAGATACACTCCTATCCTGGGGGAGGGGGGGCCAGATACTGCAGTTTCCTCATTATTGTGCCAGAATGAGTAACTGGAGGTTGAGCAGGACAAACACCAGGACTTGTCATTGTATCCAAACCCACTGTCCACTCCCAGTCCTTTCCTGTTGATCCCTTTATATGTGACGGCTATATCGATCGAACACCCGCTCCACTCAACCTCCCAGTAGCAGCGCCCAGTCAGACCCTCTGCACACAGCACTTGAAGGCGTGAGTCAAACCTCTCCTGGTGATCAGGATATGACTGTGTCTCTTCCTTCCATGTCACCACTCTGTTCCCCTCAGACAGATGGAGGTTTCTGTTTGCTGTGTTGGGGTCCAGAGTGAGCTGACAGGAATCTGATGGAGGAGAAGATCAGAAGGTGATGGTTTGGTCTCTTTCACTTCTTACATTAAACAGGAATGTGCAATTGAAATTATATATATATATATATATATATATATATATATATATATATATATATATATATATATATATATATATATATTTTTTTTTTTTTTTTTTTTTTTCCAGTTTATGTAATAAATGAAAAGCCTTAAATATATAAGTACCTGATAAGCAAAATAATATTAAACATCAGCAGCCACATTGCAAACAGATTTAAAGTCTCCTGACATAAACAGCTCATGTAAATGTGAAAGACCAGGAGGCAGCGGGAGAGAGAAAGAGAAGCTCCTCTAACAGAAGAAAACGAAACACAATAAAACACACTCCACCTCATACAGGGAGAGAGAAGCGTGTGTGTGAACAGACTCACATTGTAAGAATTCTGCTCTGGTCCTGGGCACTAATACTGGTAGGAAGGCGTCTTTGGTAACTAGAAGAGACAGAGAGAAACAGGGATGTGAGTAAAAGGAATTTACTTGTGGGAGATGGACGTCACTCACTGTGGAGACATCAGCAGTAGGGTATTATCATTATGAGGGTATTTTAAAAATGTGATAATCATTCTGGGGTGGCTTTGAGGAAAGCGATCAATCTTAGTGAATAATGATCAAGATAAAGAGCAACATAGGTAAAGAAGGAGTGAGGTCTACGTGCGTTTCCAGAAACCCTTAGTTATTCCGGAATTAAGGAACAAGCTTTAATTAGCACTTTGTTGGATCGTCTCCAGCCTCCACATGAGAAAATCCCAGACTATCGATAACAGGAACATCGATCGCACATATTTCAGTGGTGAAATAAGTCATGATTCTCACAGCAGACGTATGTAGATGTAAAAAATAAACTAATTGGAAAATAGACACCAAAGCAACCAAAATTAAGATCAAAATAATTTAACATATTTGCTGAAAATATAAAAAATCCACCAGTGGCATAGAAGCAGAGAGCTGTCAGAAGCTCCACGGTGCACTGAGGGCAAAATTCCAGTGTGTTCCTCTTTCCAGTTTATCCTGCACCAGACCAAGGAGGCTTATTATTTCACACCAGACCAACCTGTATTTCTCTATGTCCTTTTAAAGTCTACTTTAGCATTTTCTACCAAAATGCATTTGTTTTTTGTCAGCCCTCTAAGTCCTTTTCCATGTGCATATACTTATTGTTTTTGCGTATTTAACTGTTTATGTGTGCTACCATTGTGAGGAGTCTGCAGCTGCTTTTCCTGTGAGTGTCTGCGGGTTGTCAGATACTCGTAGGTAGGGTTGTGATGGAGTTACTTTAATGACTGTATGAATTGCTCTTTCACCATGGTACACAAGATCACAGTTAAATGGTTTATTCTATAGGCAGCACATCAAATGTGGCATTCATTATGAATAACCGTGCTCGAACAGGGGGGCATGGCCGACGGGTACATTTTGCTGCCATAAATATTCGTGATCATGTGGTGGGAGGCATGGGTGGGATTCAATGTAAGCTGCTTATGCATGCTGGGTAATTCATATTGAAATATTAAGCTGTATTGTTAAAGCTGCACTTACACTATGTGTATGAATTTATGTGAAATTCTCAACCAATTCATGAATTGAATTTGATTTTCAACGTCATTCTCAAGTCAGTTCTGAATGGTGCACAACCCAGTTACAGTATGTACTCAAATGGCATAGGGGTGTTACAACGACGACCCCCATTTGTGCTCATTTATAGTCAACATTATAGTTATATATTGCAATATTGACCTCTTATTATATCCTCATTATTACGTTGTCCAAAATGAACAGTCAATGTGTTTTTGTCATCTGTTTTGGCCAAACTCTATGTCTCTGTGACAGGGATAATAGCGAGTGGGTCTGAGCACTCATAAATCTACGAACGAGATAACAAACTACATTTGTAACGAAGGGTTTCGGGAAACGCTCGCTAATTAACGATAGATCTTAAGTACTAGATAACGAGTATTACGAAGCTTTCAGGAAAGCCACCCCTGAATGAAAGAAAGGTTCATCTCAAGGTTTTTGAATTTTGCAGAAACACAATTCCTACTATGTCAAATGTTTTCTGAAAGATTTTATCTTACTGGAAACCGAAATTGTCTTGGTCCCACAAATGTGAAGCTGATTGTACTGTATACTTTCTCTGCATGGTCAGTACTAAACATGAACAGGCTGGAAAATGTATTTATTTATTAACCTGTATGATTGATCTCTGTCATTTTCTTTTTGCAAACATTCTCCAGTTGATCCTTCATTTCAGTAACCACCTTCTTCACATTCTCAAAAGAGCAGCGTGTACTGACGGTGATTCTGGGTCCAAATCCAGCTTCAGGGGTGACAGGAGGACCCTGGTACCTCTACAGACGCAGAGTCTGAGTAAACAGCTTCATAAAAACAAATGTGTATTGCAATCTAACTAAAAGAAACATTAACTTTCTGATAAATGACAAACACAATACGAATGAAAACATACATCGATTTGAATACTCTGGTTTTCTTGTTGCCAAAGTAGCTGTTCTGTTACCTGGAGGACATGGATGTGATCCTCTGTGTGTGAAAGCTGCTCCAGCTCAGAGTGTCTCCTCTTCAGTTCATCAATCTCCTGCT